AAAACAAAATACGTAAAATGTAGTAAACAACTTCCAAAAATGTCCAGCAGAAGACAAGATCAGGTTTAGCAAGCCACAACATTATGTACGTATATTTACATTTACATTGTATACATATACTTACAAAGAAGGCGTCATGACAAGAAGCCACAGTTTATGTGTGCCAAGCCTCAAAGTAACACACAGGGGAACATTAGTGGCTTTACAAATCCAGTGGATGTCCTTCCTGACTTTGTCCACCAGGAAGCAGCAATGAGCACACTCCCTGAAGCAGACAGCCTTCCCTGCCTGCTAAGAATGGGTTCCGTGTTCGGTACTTTTTGAGGCACTAACCAAACTCCGTGGCAATGACCAAGGACCAATTCACGTCACATGAAACAGTGACTTGTTTTTGTACCTTTTGCCTCTTACACACTAGCATTCAGTGCTGGATTTCCCAAGATAGACAGCAGCGCATGCGCAAGAGCGTTATGTAATCAGTCGCTGTGGGCGAGATGTAAACAGAGCAAGCAGCATGGTAGAAAGAAGTGCAATTAATACCACAGCAAGACATTTTGTCCAACAATTGCACAAATAATATCCAAAAAGAATACACAAACACTACAACTAATGGTCTAAGTTCAGAGACTCTAAATCGCGGAACAGTTTTCAGGCGAGACCGAGGCTCTACTGAGGCATTTCCACGGAGCTAGCTCTGTGGTCACGTGGGTCGGATGCTCATTAATTATACAGAATTTTAGGCTTTTAATACACTTAAACAGAAGAGTGAGGAAAAAAAATCCCTCCCCCCCCCCCCCCCCCCTCAGAGTTGTCATGAGTGTAAACTAGATCATTTAAACCAAAAACATGTTTTGGAACCAGGCTGTAAACATGTTTATTTCTGCTGTGAAATTGGTATTTTTAACATGGGAGTCAATGAGGATTTGCTCGCTTCTGACACCAGCCCCCAGTGGATGAGGGTGGAACTGCAATTTATTTCACTTCCGCATTGGCCTCAATTTTAGACCAGCATTGTGGGGGCTTGGCTATCATCATCTAAATCTGCTCCAGCAGGTAAATAAACTGTTAAGATAACTTTAGCTTTATACTCTAGCTTCCGTTGCAACCAGCTAATGGTGCGTTTGCTTTCTCCTTGGTACTCAGGAATTCCGACTTCCGAGTAGGAGAAATCAACAGTTTGAAAATGAACAACCAAAGTTCAAAACTCAGATCGTAATTGTGATTAAAATTAGATCAATTGTGCATAGTAATTTACATAAAATGCACACAACATGTGCCCTGTTTGTTCAGACCACTCACCCATTCTATGTAATTTTAATTTACTGTGCCTGCCGGCTGTAATATCCTCTCATGTGAGATGTTGTTGTGTATTAAAAGCAGTTAAAATTGCTGAGTTCTGTGAGATTTTACTGGGGAAAAGCTATTTTCAATGCCATTTAGCACTGAGGAGCTTACCCTCCATTTTGACATGATCTACACTAATATTCTGGATGAGATTGCACCTTTTAGGATCAGGAAACCAAGGCACAGGGCAGAAATTTGGCTCTCAGGCCTGCAACAGTCTGCAGGAGGGCAAAAAGAAAATAGAAATAGGGCAGACTCCAAGTCTTGTGAACTATACTGTACAGATGTTATGGCCACCAGCATGGCCTCTTCAGATGCAGGAGCCAAGATCCCCCAGCCCCAGTGATCAGCCAGACTCCTCCTCTCCTCCAGGCTGCTGAGGAGCACAGATGAGCCGAATCCCTGTAATGAGCCACACTTGGGATAAAAGGCTGTGCCATCCAGCAGTCTAGGAGGCAGAAGTGCAGGGGTTCTGCTGTCCTCCAGACCTCATCTTGGTTTTAAACTCCTTTTTGTTTTTGTGATGAGTTTTGACTGTAATGGTTTTGACTGCAAGAGTGATGACTTTTAAAATAATTTTAGAACTCTGAGACGATTCAATGGGATCTTTTGGTATGACCACCTAATGGTCTCATTGAGGGTAATTCCCTCTTAGATGTCAACTCATGTTGACTGAGATATGATCTTTGTGATGTTAGATTTTGTTGTTTTAAAGGTCAACTCTGTTCTGGTTTTAAGACTTTTATCATCTTTGTGGATTTTAAAGCACCTTCTAGTTTTGCTAAACCTTTTAACAAGTTTTAACCAGGTGTTTTAATTGTTAAGTTGTCTTTTAATGTTAATCTTTTTGAGAGTTTTATGTTTAATAATGCTCATCATCTGTTTGCACGCTTGTTTTTAAACCTTTTGACAATTAAACACATTTTAAATCCACTGTCATGTTTCTTATGTTACCCTCTGACAATATGAACGTTTATTCAACCCGTGACTGAAGAAATACAAAGATGCGCAGCAAGTCTTTTATTCATGTATGGAAATGAGAAATGTGGATTTAGAGGTGATGATCGCATGAAGAGGTGGAGGAGAATGAGAGACAATTTTGTTCGGGTTACAAAAAGTCTCTGAAATGCATTAAAACAATGTAAACCCAATAGTAAATATATGTGACTGTAAAACATTTCCGTCAATGCATATGCATCACTCCACACTCAAACTGACAGAGGAGTATAAATTAGGCTAAACTCTCATGATCCGTGCGCTTTCTTTTAAGGCAGTGATTTTTCTGACTCTGGTACTTTGCCCCAACAGTTAAAACCTGCAAGGAATTCCTTAATTTTTTCATTGATATAGTTGCAACTATTTGAGCTGCTATTGAGAATTCTAATTCCCCTCCTGTTTCTGCGGTCCCAGTGTCGCTCTGGGCCACACTGACAACATGTATAAAACTACAGCCCGTCTCTCCCTAAAACTACATCTATGGACTGTGTCTATATCTGAGCTTGAAAAGTTGGTCACTCAGCTGAAGCCATCCCCAGTGAGTCGTGGTGGATGGCTGCTTATACTGAGCCAGGATTCTCTGGAGGTTTCTTCCTGTTAAAAGGGAGTTTTCCTCTCCACTGTCGCTTTATGCTTGCTTAGTATGAGGATTGCTGTATAGTCACTGACACTAGTCAGTGACTTGATGCAATTTGCTGGGTTCCTTATATAGGAAACATTATTTCTGATTGGCTTAATGAACTGACCTGAATTGGAATGTTTATTATGTGAAGTGCCTTGAGACGACTCTTGTCGTGATTTGGCGCTATATAAATAAAAATGAATTGAATTGAATTGAATCTGGATCTCCTTATGGTATTCTGCCCCTAGAATCTTTAAAGAAGCAATCCTGGTCCAGGCCCCTTTTTCCTTTGTCTATCATAAATGGCAGTTTCACTTCCAGTGTGGTTCTGGCTACTGACAGACCTCCGGGAGAGGATGTGCAGCTTTTAAAAATATCAGACGAGCTGGTGTATGGGTCCAGCTCACAGAAGCCTGCATGTGCTCCAGAAGGTTTCTGGGTCGGAACCAGATCTGAACTGCCGCAGACCTCCAGGAGAGGATCATTTTTAAAAATACCGGCTCGACTGGCTTGTTGGTTTCTGGGTCGAATCCAGCTCACAGAAGCCCGCATGAGCTCCAGAACCGGATGACAGACGCCTCTCTCCCGCTCTCTGTCTTATAAAGAGTGATTGCACCTTGGCGCAACAGAGGGAGGTGTCATGATCACGTGGGGAGTTTCTGCTGAGCTCTGGCAGGCAAATATATTGAATATTACCATGCCATAACATGCCATAACATACCATACCATATCATACCATATCATACCAAGTTTACTTAAAGCACATTTAAAAACAGCATGACAGCTGACCAAAGTGCTGTACAGTAGTAAAAAGGAAAAACCCCAAGATAAAAACAAGATAAAGATCATATAAGAGATAAAAGGGATAACCTAAAAATTTAAAAGAAACATACTAGAGTAAAAAAAAAAAAAAACCAAAGTCAAAATAAAAACATTAAAAAAACAATAAAAGCTTGGTCATTGATCAAAAGCTAAATGATAGAAGTAGGCCTTCAGTACAGACTTGAATCGACCCAGTGACAGGTCTGTCTAACACTAAGAGGGAGAGCATTCCAAAGTTTAGGTGCAGCAAGCGCAAAGACCATCTCCCCACGAGATATACTTCATTTTTGGGATGCACAAAAGCAAGTGATCTGCCGTTCTCAGGTTTCTGGGTGGAACATAAGGCTTAAGCAGTTCTGACAGATAAGTAGGGGCTTGACCATTCAGGGTATTGTAAACAAAGGTTAAAACCTTGAACTGGATACGATATTTAACAGGCAGCCAGTGCAAGCGTGCAAGTACAGGTGAAATGTGACAGCGTCTAGAGGTGTTTGTCAGGAATCTAGCCGCTGTGTTCTGCACTCTCTGAAGACGCTCAATTGCTGAGACACTGACACCAATAAGTACTGAGTTGGCATTGTCCAAACGTGAGGTGACAAATGCGTGAACAACAGACTCCAGCTGTGGTCGTTTGACTATTAACTTCAAACGTGAGTTGTGACGTAGTTGAAAAAAACCAAGATCTGACTGTAGCATTAATTTGTAAACTCATTGACAGATCAGAGTCAAGTTTCACTTCCAGACTGGTTACACAAGATTTCAAATTTATAAACGGTAGAGGGAAGTCACCAGGTGCATGCTTTGGATTGATTGGATTAAAAAGAATGGCGTTGGTCTTGTTTTCGTTAAGGCAAAGGAAGTTCTCCGACAGCCAGCCTTTAACTGCAGTAATACAGTCAACGAGAAGGCGAGCCCCTTTATACCGACAGTGTGTAATATTTTGTCAAAAGGATATGATTGCACCACATTATTGCTACAGTCTGACCACATATACACGACCACAAGCTACCTGATACCGCCACAGGATTGCAGCAAATTGACAGCACTGTTTTGTAAAAACGGCTATATAGGGGAGTATTTCAGGGACATCATGATGTCTCATCTTGTTCGAATGAAAATGAAACAGGGTAGTATGTGCATTGTACAGATTTATGCTCCTGTGAGCATGAGATAAAAGTACAGTGTTGTTGCATTATGCATGGGCAGATCAACCTACCTGCTGAGGGTGAGGGTGAGGGAGTCTGTTGCTGCTCTAATCTTGTTTTGTGCCTCCACATGGGTCATTTCTTCAGCATTGGCATCACTGATGGAGACCACCCAGTCCCCCACACCTACTCCAGCCTGAGCTGCTTTTCCACCTGGTGTGAGCTGAAAAAAGACCCACAAGGAGCTCAGTTAGAGGGTTATCCAAAATAAATTTACCAGAAAAATACTAAATTTCATAAAAAACCTATTCAGATTAAGTCCAGCTCCAGGACCAGTGCACCATTCTGTCCCGCTATGAACTTGAGATTGTTCTCACACCTTCATCTCTTCGTGCTTAAACTACTGTAACTCTCTCTTCACTCGTCTGAGCAAAACCTCCCTGAACCGCCTGCAGGTGGTTCAGAATGCCTGTGCTCGGCTTCTGACCAAGTCCTCCAAACACACCCACATCACCCCGCTTCTCCTCCAGCTTCACTGGCTGCCAGTCAACTTCAGGGTTCATTTCAAGATCCTGGTTCTGGTCAATATCTGTTGATAAACTTTGCAGCATTATTACAAATCAAGCAGCTAAAAATATGCATCAGGCACTGTCTCACCTTTACTGTCACTAAAGGAAAGTACTTCAAAGGTAAATGCAGTGTGATGTACGTTTGGCTAATGCTTTTAAATATAATAGTATAATGAAACGGTTCTGCTGCTTCATGCTGCCAAAACTCTGAAAGATGACATGAAGTGTCAGGCCAGCCACTTAGAAACATGAAGACAGGGGGTACCCAGCACTAGAGTTTGCAAACATGTCATGTTATATTTGCACAAAATAAGATTTAATACATGATCCAGCCTGTGGTGACAAAGCCATCTTTTTGCAGCAACTCAAATAGAAGAGTATAGACCGTATCCCGCAAATGAGAACTTTTAAGTGTTAAACAGCACTTATAGCAAAAGGAATATAGATGAAGAAGACACAAAACAGGAAGAAATAAGCAAAACCACAGAGACACTGACGTACATCAGTCTGTTTCAAGAACAAGTGCATGTTTTCCAGTGTCCTTCCCAGTATTGACTACAGCAGGGAGGATGGGGTAGGTATAGGGTTTCTGTCCACTCCTTACCAATCAAAGATCTGAGCACAGAAACTTAAACTGCTGCCTTCTCAAGTGAGGGAGCAGCTGCACTCTAAAC